GTATATTGAAAAAAGAGTGGTTCAACAGAAATATGTTGAGCTTAATTTTGCTCGGAGATAAATGAAAGAACATCTGCCCTATATATACAAAAATGAAAAATAGTAGATGCTAGGTATTTACATAACTTGAGCATGGAAACTTCTAGGAGACGATGGCTAAGCTACTGCTGAGTTCATTGATGAGCTAATTCCACTCTAACAAGTGTGCTAGTCAGTTCAAGTAATATAATGATGAAAATAGAATATCATTTCACAGAGACTGTAGCCTAACTAAGTACCAAAATTAACTAATTCTAATTTTATTTGAACAATTAAAATTAAATGATTCGACTAAACTAAATAACTAAACTAATAAATGAAAAACTAAATTAACTTAAATAACACCAAGAGTTAAAATTCTAAGGCATCCGATTTTATCATAATCAACTAATATAGAATTTACATTAACATACTTTCAAGGTATTTATTATTTATGTGACAGCGGGATTTCCTATCCTATCTAATATATTTTCTCAAGTTATATCAAACATATCTTCACTTATTAACCCATTATATCTCTATGTAAATTTAAATAGATAAAGATGCAGTATGTTCTGTGACATTCCCTAGTTTATATGGAAAATTAAGTCCACTTATCACTAATGTTACACAAATCACGTTGGTCCATCTCTAATTTTTGTTCAATTTATGGTATATATTATTAGAAGTTATTGCATAAAATCTCTTCTCGGTCTCAATTATGCTCTCCAAATCAGTTTTAATGGTGGCCAATCATTAAAAAGCATTAAAAACAATCATATATACTCTACATAAAATAATAAACCTTAAAAGTATAAAAATCATAAAACTTTATATTAAATTGATCATGTTACATAGTAACCTTAGATGGCAAATCAGTTCATAATTAAAAAAAAAAAGAGAATCAACAATCTCATGATGAATATACGAGTATCCAACATCATGAAATAAAATTTAAGGACAAGCAAACCGGTTTGACTATATAAAATCCCAAGTCTTCTTCTTTTGTTGTTGAATTCCTCTTAACCGTCTTTCTTGGTCTCCTCTCCAAAAGCCCTCACACTGATTTTTGAATGGGTATTTATAGAGTTTAAGAAACCCTATTAGAAAAGAAGTAGGACTCAGAAAAAATAGGAAATTGGGATTTTTGGACTATGAACATATGGTGCCAACACCCTTAATTACATGTCGACAGAGAACAGGAAACAAAATCAATAATGCTAGACGCGTAATGCATAGTGTTGACACCCTGATTATGTGTCGACACCACACCCGTGTCGGGTTTTTGGCCTCTTTTGCAATTTCTTCAATGGTAAAATTTCAGATCTGATCCTCCAAGTTTTGTACGATGAGCACTGAGATCTCAAAACTTGAGATTCATTCATTTAGGTCCCAAAGAAGTCTCTTTCTTCTTGCAGTTCAGTCCTTCAACTTCTAAAAGATATTCAATTAATTCCAAAACTCTTATTATTATGCATCCAAGTCTTTTTCTGCACAAAGAATGAAACCCATGTAACATTTCATAGAATTCATCCAAATATTAATAATATCAAGACAAAACTTCAACATTAATATGTATATAAATTCAACTCATCATTCATCGTGAGGAGTTTGTGGGGGCATAGAATTTTGGTCCTGGTTCCCTCCAGAGCGTGGATTTCTGAAATATTTTGCAATGAATTCTTCAACAAGATCAGGATACTTTCCCTTGACAAAGTTGTCTAGACACTTTCGGTAGGAAAAATCTTCTTTGAAACCATCGATTGTGACCACATACAAGCACCTGCTTTCTAGGAAATTCACGTGCTTGCTTATCTGTCACATTGAGTTCAGGTTTATCATTGGATTAATAAATAGGCAACACATACTACTGGATAAAGAGCAAAATTGAAGGCTGGACATTGTCTTTTGTGGACTTGTGGAATGCTCCTAGTAGATGCCAAATAGTAAAAGTTCCAAAACTAAGATTGATAGAATTTGAGCAAGGTGAGGTGATATGATGTTTGCAATAATACCATATGAAGGTGTTTTTTACACAATAGGGGTTTCTCGTGCCAGTGGGTTTGATGATAAGAACAGTGAGATATGGAGAAATTGCAAAAGAGGATAGAAAACCCGACATGGGTGTGGTGTCGACACATAAATTTGGTGTTGACACTATACGGTAAGCACCCAGAATTCCGACACGGACGT